ACATGCACGGGAGAGAGAGAGGAAGAGGGAGAAGGGGAGAGAGAGAGGGAGAGAGAGGGCGAGGGCGAGGGGGAGAGAGAGAGAGGGAGAGAGAGGGAGAGGGAGAGAGAGAAAGAGAGAGAGAGAGAGAGAGAGAGAGAGAGAGAGTGGTGGGGGTCTTTGCACTTTACCTGTCTATAATGTTTGTATATGTCTAGGATGGAATCTAGATTGACAGGAAATAATCATTTGTTAAACACACACACATACCCATGAATTGCACTGCTGTTTAAGTACCTACATGCCCCTTCACATTCTGGGTATGACCGTCCATGCATTAGATTATCTCACAAAACATAGCTGCACCGGATACCATACATATTGGTGCCTTTTATGGCCACACAGCTGACCATAGCTAGCACAGATGCGCACACCACAGGCACGATGATAGGGCTGGCGTGGGAATAGCTGCTACCGCCTCAGAAGACGGGAGACCCATGATACATATCCGGTGAGTAGTTTGCATTCTGGTTTCCTGATTCCAGTCCAGATCACTGACAAGTCCAAGCATAATAAACCAAAGGACCTCAATGAGATATCCAATATTTTAAATCTTCCCTGACAACCAAACTACGGCATAACCTGCACCTAACCTCAATCACAAGTTCCAAAAGAAGCTGCATGGATGGGTGGCACACACATATGCTTGTTGATAAGCAGATGACCAGCTCAAATCCTTACAGATCACACACATATGCATGTTGATAAGCAGATCACCAGTTCGAATCCTTAGAGATTCAGCATTGTTAGGGGCATTTCCCCTTTCATAAAGAAGGGTAAAGAAAAGGGTTCCAAGAGTCCAAACAAACCCCAAATGATGGAACCTTTGGATAGCAACCTGATCTAAGGGAGGAGTCTCACCTCCACCCCAATCCGCTCACGGCTAATCTTAGAACCAAGGGCCTTCCTGATTGCTTCACTTGCAGCTGCTTCAGCAAGCTCATCATCCAACCGGAACGCAAATCTTGCACCTGATCACAATATTCAAACGAAGAAGTGAGGATGCAAACAAAAAAGACGAGAGAAGAGCGGAGGAGGAAAAACGGCAGAAGATGGAACGGCGTGGAAAAGAATCAGAGAGAAGAAGAAACAAACAGGAGGAGGAGGAGGAAATCAAAAAGGGGAGGGCGAACAAGGTGGAGGAGGGAAAAAGAAAGGAAGGGAGAGGAGAAAGGAAAGAAGAATAACGAAAGTAGATGGACGGAATTGAAAGGAGGTGGAAGAGAATGGAAGAGAGTGGAAGAGAGTGGAAGAGAGTGGAAGAGAGTGGAAGAGAGTGCGGGCAAGTTGAGGAGAGTGGAAAAGAGTGAAGAGAGGAAGTAGAAAACGGGAAAAGGAGTAATAAGCCAAAAAGGAGAGGGTGGAATAGGGTAGAACAGGGAAGGAGAAGGAGAAGAAGAAGAAGAGGAGAGAAGAAGCATCATAAGAGAAAGATGTAATGACGGTGAGAAGGAAAGGAGTAAGAAAGGAGCAGGCAGACAAGGAAGAGAACTGAAGACGGCCAGGGAAGAGACAAAAGAAGAAAGCAAAAAAAGAGGACAAACAAGTCCAAGAAGGTGCAAAGACTTATCACAGGCACGACCAGAGAATCGCAAAAAGCCAAGTAGCAACACTCAGGATCAGTGCTTGTCCCAAGACTTCAACCGTTCATTTGCCTGACCTGATCACCCCTGCACCATGCAGGTCATCAATTGCACAATCATTACTCATTATCCATTCAATCATGTATCACTTTCAGCAATCTGAACAAGGATGAGTTCAGAGAACACCGATCAGACAAGACAACCAAACACAAAATCCTCAGACTCTCTCTCTCTCTCTCTCTCTCTCTCTCTCTCTCTCTCTCTCTCTCTCTCTCTCTCTCTCTCTCTCACACAC